CCCACTTGAAATCAAACTTGTGATGATGCCACATTATTAGCCACAGTGCATCTAAATTAGCATTTTCAACAGACATTTAGATCATGTGTAACTAGTAACCACGCAAGTGACCTCATTGTTTTCTTTTTTACTTCTTGTGTTATCTTTTGCAGCACCTCATTGTTTTCTTTTTAATTCTTGTGTTATCTTTTGCAGCACGGGCCAGAGGTACATATACACTGGATCAAGTGACGATTCAGTGCATATTTACGATGTGGTATGTAAATCCAATCTTCCCACATTTTCCAAATTATAGCATGCCTACTTCACTGTTTGCAGATTGTTGTTATCCACTACAAACCTGCTGCTCGTGCAGGTAACAGGGGCGACCGTCAAGAAGCTCTCGTGGCACGGTTCGATCATCAGAGACTGCACCTGGCATCCTTACCGTCCAACGCTCGTAAGCTCTTCCTGGGACGGCTATCTGGCCCGGTGGGAGGCATCAGGCAACAATGAGGACCCCTCGGTGCTCACGTGCGACGAGCAGAGGACTAGCCCTTACGACCAGACATACGGGCTCTCTTTTGCCCTGTAGTAAGTTGCAGAGGACCTGGCGCAGTAAGCAGAGCCGGAGCGAGCTCGTGATGCACCCGGTGTTGGGTTGTGGCAGTTTATGATTGATGTGCTTATATGGCAATATAAGCACAAGCAGTCATGCATTGTATATCTGAGGCAACTTGTGCTCCTCTTGCTGTCACTGATAGAAAATAGTGATGTAAACAAAGATGTAGCCGTTGCTTTTGTAAATTTGTTTGCAGTTGATCAAGTGGTGTCAGTGACAAAGTCATATGTAACTATACAAGTTTTTTTGTTGTTGTTGAGAGAATTGTAACTATGTAAGTTAATAATGCATGTGCATTCTGTTGCCATACAGAAGTAAATAACGCTGGTGATACTACAACTTGACCTGTGGGTGTGGTTTCATCCTCAAAATATTGTCCCTGCTCTTCCAGTTACATTGATGTGTTCGAGGTCTGTGAGTTGCGAACATTGGTGGTTGGCAGGCAGGCGATGGCGTCAGGCTCACCTGATTGATGCCGACGATCACGCGGGTGATGAAGAGCAAACAGTGGTGTCGTGCCAGCGATTGTGCGGGTGACCGTGGAGGGCAAGCATTGCTCTGCTCTCAACTATGGTGAGAGCTCCACCCTCCCACAATAGGTAGGGGTTTAGTGCCTTAATCAGTCATGACCGTTGGGTTTGTGGTTGATTTGGTGGTTGTATGCTACCATAATGATGTTTAGGCTGGCAATTTGGTGGTTCTTACTTCTTTTGTGTTACATGTTGCCAATTTAGGGCTAGTTGTGCATTCATGTGCAACTACCAATTTGGTAAAGTTGCAAAACATAATACTTAGCGAGGTGAAAGTGTAGGAATTTTTAGATGTACTCCCTCCGGTCCTTTTTAGTTCGCATATAAGATTTGACTAAAGTCAAGCCTTGTAAAGTTTGACCAGCTTTGTAGAAAAAAGTGTCAACATTCACAATCTGAAATCAATATCACTAGATGTGTCATGACTTAAAGTTTCATATTATATAACTTTAGCATGGCAGATGTTGATATTTTTTTATATAAATACGGTCAAATTTTGTGAAGTTTGACTTCAAAGAATTCTAATATGCAGAGTAAAAAGGACCGGAGGGAGTACTGCGCGTGCATGCAATGATTTGCCGAGGGTGGCATCATGCAATTATTCACGCAAAATACTATCTTAGGGTAATGGGCAAAGAGTATTGATTTGATGATGTTTAATAGGATAGGAACCTATTGCCAATAACTTCCTCTGACTTCTATTAACTTTCATTGAAAAAATTGCACAAATATGATAACAAATGCATCATTTCTTTGCAGCATCACCAAAAGAGTTGCAATTACCCAGTCATTGCATATCATTTCACTTCCACTTCACTAACCTAATCAAAGCATCATAATCCAAACAAGGACTCTCACAATGGCATTCAACCTATGTGCTAGGACATCATGGCCACTAGCAGCAGCTACAATTGCATCTTTCACCTCTTAACTCCTCTCTGTTCTTTTGTCCTGCTGATGAAACGTAACAAAGATTACTAGCTACCACCCCACCGTGACCATCAATTCCTTTAGCTCCCACTGTCTGCCAACTGCATTTGCGCACTGCTACCACCATGGCCAGCATTGTTGGAGCTATCAATGATGCCATACTGAATTGTCGGTAGAATGGGAGTAGGATCAATCATGGTGTAGACCTTCACCACCCTTCACTTGCAACAGGGGCACTTTATAGATTAATGCTCTAGTAAATTTGTCTAAATATTCGAACCAATAAT